ATAGATAGATAGATAGATAGATAGATAGATAGATAGATAGATAGATATGCCATTATAGGGTCACTGAATTCTATAAAAAGTATCAGTTTCTTATCAAAACGTTACAAGTAAAACCTTAAAACTGAAGGAGTCATCTGATAGATAACATGTTGAAAATCGAATAAACTCGCATTCTGGCTTCATCTACTTATTCATCTGATTGTAACCTAAACACACAACGTGATTATCTCAGTCCTAAAACGGGCCAAAAGCTTACGATTTTTGTAATCAACTCTATGGGACGATGTGAGATCTTTCGCTGTCGGTAAAGGCCTCTCCCAGCGGAACAATGCATGCGTGAGAGGAAATGTTAAACAAATCCATATCTCTGGTTTTACAATCATTTCCTCCGACAGAGATCCTCCGGGCTGAGCCCGCAGACCAGCAGACGAGCCTCAGGATATAAACTCCCTTGTTTAAATGGATTCGGCTATCAGTGAGTAATAATCCGTTTGAACCCACGGAATACACACTCGAGCGGAGGTTTTTTCGGGGCAAGGGGTTATGCTTAATCTTCCGTCGTTTAAGCACTCTAGGTCCTCGGTGCATACTACTGGACCGAGATAAATAGGTCATGATAGACCTGCTGGACGATGTCTGGTAATCTCATCTGTGCAACACGCCGCCTCCCCCGGTCCAAAGCCCGGGATGCCCTCATCCTATAGCTGATTCTCAGATCATCCGGGTCAGGGTTAATGTCGCTAAGGATGAGCGTTGGCGCGTCAGCGCGGCCGTATCGAGAAAAACGATACGGAGCCTCACAGGCCGAATGTAATAATGTACAGGCAACACAAGGAGAGATTTATTTTTAATACCAATAGACGAGCTAAATCCCTCTTCGAGCAGAACAAATCCTCTGGTGTCTTCATAAAAGTGAATGGTCCGCAGAAAACAAACAGCTGCCGGATGGAGTGGCGAGAGGATTTGAGGGAGCAATGCGATAAAAGGAATAAACAGCGGCGAGACCAGAATGCGATCTATCGGTAGATATATATTACAGGAGAACCGTAATCTAGTAAGCAGAACCAGCATCAAGTCAAGCCTAACGGATCCAAATTTGACTTTTAATTGGTCAAAAAGATTATTCTCTGCAAGGTGAAAAAAACAACAACTCTGCAGCAAACAGCAAAGACAGCTGAAACTAAGCCAACATGGCATCCCCCACCCCCAGGACTCCCGATCATCAAGAAGCAGGAAGCATGGCGGGAAAGTCATTGAAACTCAACCTTCTTCATCTCCTTCCCTCTGGCACCAAAACACCAGCCATGGAGGGCCTCAACCCCCCGACCATCACTTTCTCAAACAGCTGACCAACAGAATTCATCATCTGTGCAGGTTCACGTCCCGCTCGAATCCAGAGGTTGTTCATCGTTTTTCTGCTCATTTGCACCTGAATGCGGAGCGTTTATGGAAACTGCATGTCATGTAGAAACAATGTGACAAGCACAGTTTGTGTTCAGGCTCCTGGTTTGAGCCCCTGTAGGTCTTTCTGTGGGGAGTTTTTGTGTCCTCCCTCTCCAGATGTGGCTTCTCTCCTTCCACAGTCCCAAAAAAATGCATGTTAAGTTAACTCATTGGCCGCCAAAGACGTCTATAGACGTCAATTCAAATCCAACCGTTGACTGCCAAAGACGTCTATAGACGTCTTTTATGTTTTTCAACGAGAGTGGCTTGGGGACGATCTGCTAAAGCTTGTCCATAAATATCAGGCTTCCAGACAGAGTATGTAGTAACAAACTGACCCTCTAGGTGGCAGTGCCACTTTTGATGGGAGATGAGCATAGACTGTAGGCAAATAAGAAAAAGGTAACGGTTCGATATGAGAGAACATGTCGCCGGTGAGAAGCACGTCGAGGAATAACGGAATAAGGTAGAAACAAATGTTTTTTTCCTGATGAAAGAAGAGAGTCTACTCTTTCTTTTGGTGTGTTCGGTGTTTACATAATCATAGCACAAACTATTCTGTGGCTCTTGAAAAATCAGTCAAAATGCTCAAAAAACTCTGGCAGTCAATGAGTTAACTGTGGGTGTGAATGTGGCAGTGCGGCCCTGTGATGGACACATCACCCCCCCCACACACACACACAGACACACGCACACACTATAACGCATTTTACTACTTCTTGAAATTGACACTATATGTATCTTTGAGTTATTTTATTGAAAATTCCCCCATGGTAAGCACGTCCCCTTCGCCATGGAGGACCAGATTATGCTAAGATGTGGCAGAAAGAGTTCTCTGGTGGAGGAGATTAAACCTTTGACCTCTTTTGATCCACCCTCTGCTGCTTAAAGTGACAAGCATCTGATGACGAATGAAATTCAACACTCGACTGAAATCTTGAGAGGAGTTGTGGATTACCCTTTAACGCGGAAAACAATTGGGTTTAAAATCACTTGGCAATGCACGGGAAATGCACTCTGAATAATAAAATACGTTTCACATGACAAAACCCTTGCTTCTGAGGAGCAGATTGTCTTTCTTCTATTCAGTATTTTATCTCTGAGCCCAAAATACACACTGAGGCCTGGAACGCCTGGAAAACGACTGATTCGATAACATTTTTTGTGTCTTATAAACTAAGCAGGTGGAGGAGAAGAGGGCTGCCCCTGATGCCTCTGAGCAATACTAAAATGCTGACAAAATGCTGGCTTTGTCCTGTTGTTTAAGAATTGTGTCCAGAGGAAAAGAAACCATCTGGTCCTCATCAGAAAAATACAATTTCAGACCTACAACACATCGTCTCCGTAGTTGTAGTAGAGAAAAATAACAAAATGTGGATCTGGGCTCTGATTGGAGCTCTCAGCTCCTCGGTTCTTGTCTTTGTCAAACTTCCTGCTTTAGATCTGCTGTAGATCTACGTTTGGATATTTGTCCTGATGACCAGTTCTGTTTCCGGCCAGTTTTAGCCGGGGGGCAGATGGCCTCACATCTGACTCGGAACACTTTGGGATCCAGAGGAGTTCAGGGTGGACTTTGAGGTCCTGATAATGCCGAAGCAGCCCAGACCACTGTGCCTCCCCCGCCGTGCAATCAGCTGCTCTAAGCTGTTTGGTTTCTGTGAATCTGACCAAACATCTCCAGTTTGCTTTTCACCAATTTGCAACAGTTCGGAAACACAGTCTGAAACATCCTTAGTGGATGCGCGCACCCAAAATAAAGCATCTTCGAACGAACCCTGGTCTCCAAGTATCTGTCGAGGCACCCACTGTGGCTGAACCGCCACAAGAGTATGATAGGAAAGTCCATGAACACATATTAGAGTGTTTTCAGTTACGATTCTGGGATTTAAAAAATTCTTAAAAGCTCCACGTACCACTTGAGAAAAAAAACGGTTAATTTTGAGTCCCTCAGTTATTAAATTTTTTTAACAAATGACAAAATAAATGCAAAATTTCAAAGCCAGGATGCATAAAAGCTCTGTTCCACAACTGAAAGTGTGTGTTTAAACATGCATACATTTTTATTGTTTGTGCAGCCGTGCATATGAATGGTTGATTGGAGAAATTTCAATCATTAACAAGTTGTATGCATGCGCACATGTCTGATTTTCACTCTCGTCTTCAGTCATGAATGAATGAAGACCTCAATTAATTATTCCATATGAAAATCCAACTTGTACCAACAGTTATTGGACAGTTTTATTGAAAATGGAATTCAGACTCTCGCAGAACAAGAGGAGACGGGAAATGTTCGGCACAATGAATCTGGCTGCTTTGTTTAAAGTTAAATTATGTCTCCCCTTAAAATGAATTCTCCCTTCATCATATCGGGCTTGAGTCACTTTGAAAAATTCATGAGTGTGCATGGTCTAAAGTCTGTTTGAGCTGTGCATATTCTGGCCACAGAATCATTCTCTACAAATTACAGCTTGTTCGGGGAAAAGCACATGCGCTCTTTTTTGTCTTCCCATACATTATTTCAATTAATTCTCCCTCACAACTCGCCACAAACAGATGGCTAAAAGCATTCTGCATCTTTCAGTAAATGGAAGCCTGTTACTGTTACTTTCAGATGCACAAGGAACTGATGCACGTTGGGACAAATTCCTCAGTGATGTCATGGGATGGCGGGTGGAGCTTTCCCGCTCTAAAGCAAGACGTTTGAACTCAATCCGTGTTCTTTTTTGCTGCTTTTCCTGTTTTACAAACTAATCAGACAGGCTGAAGTAGGAGCAATGTGATCTCTTTGCAGCAAGTTAGACATCCAGCTCATAATTGTATCATCAAAGTCTGTAAATAAGTGTTGTAAATTAGAATATTGCCTTAATCCTGGTGGCATAATCAAACCTTTGCTGCGAGATGTTGTGGTCAACCCTGTAAAATACAGCACTGAGATGTACCGGGACGATAAAGGAGCAATTATAATGTCAAACCTGATTAATATGCAAATGAATGCAATATTATTTGGACAAACTCTTGGTTATGGAATAATGAGTTGACTTATGGTAGTCTTCCCCCTTCATCCTGTTTGTTCCAATTGTAGTTCAGCTGTAATCCAGCCCTTGTAATAATGGGTTTT